GTTGGACAAAAAATAACTTCCAACCTGCTAGTTGTCAGATGTACCAAGTCCAAGCCCCCCAAATAGTGAAAATTAATTCCAAGGGACAAAGGTGGTTAAGAGTAGGAAAGGCTTATTAAGAGAAAGCTGCTGAGAGACAGGAGGGGTTCAGAAGGGGATTTACCAGCAAGGCTGTCCTACATGAACGTTTCATAGAGCAAAACCACCAGGTGGGTACAACCTGTGTCGAACTACAATCAACCAATAGAACTACAAGTATATAGTAGTCACTTAGCTAGTATTGATCCAATAGGGAAATGAGGAAGGGTATATGGTAAGCATTATTAACTTTAGCTTATCTATATCTTCTAACAGAAAGAACCAAAGACAGTTTTGTGGGAAGGGATGAGTCCATGTGCTCTGGTCACTCAACTAGATTTCTGATGCCTATCTGACTTACTAGACCAAGTGGGACTAATTACAGTGTGATCTCAGGTTGCTGGTTATCTCTTAGGAAGGCTTGCAGGCCTGGCCCCTGTGTCTCCATCCTGAGACCTGGACTTCTTCAGATGCACCTCCAACCACAGTTTGATGTGTTCTTGTCTTCCACACAACTCCCTCCAGGGCCCATTTCTGCCTGGCTCCTGTTAATTTCTATCTATCTTATCTGTACACCATCGTGTCTTCAGAAGGAGAGCTAAAAGGGCAGAAAGTGCTTAAACTATCTTCCTCCTGCCCCTTCAGAAGGTGCAAGTGCAATCTATGTGCCCAGAGCCCATAGGATGTAGTTCCATCTGAAAACTCCTCCTCTTCCTAGGCATGGTGGTGTGGTAGACCAACCTAGGCAATTTAAGGACCTAACAAGACCCTGTCTCAGAAATGTTTTAAAAGACTGGAGATAGAGTTCAAAATAAAGGCCCAGAGTAATCCTCTGTGATCAGAGAACAAAAGCCCTAACTCTTAATACCATTGAAAGATTACATTTTCACAGAATTTTACAGGGGGTACAAGTACTCACATTTTAGACAATCCAAACTGAGAAACAGTGATGGGAGAATCAATACAAAGGAAAGAACAGAAGTATACTGTCCAGCCTCATCAACAGCCTCCTCTTTCGAGTTTCTGCCCTTGCCTGTCAGCCTTCGCCTGTGTAAGCATTAGACCAACTGCAGCAAATACGCCAAGCACCTACCCGGGCAAGGAACTGTCCTGGTGTTATGGAAAACAACAGGATGATTCATGGTATTTAATAACACATGCAAGGCTTACTGGGTAGCAGGTATCTTTCTAAGAACCTTATAAATATTAATTGGAATGATCTTCAAAACAATCCAGTGAGATGGGTATTTTATTATCCCCATTTTACAGATGAGGAAATGAAAGCATAATCATCATAAGTACTGTTTATTAAGTCTGATGTGGACAGGATTTTGATGTTTCTTAAATGTAATATTCAAAGCCCTGTGAATAGGTTTAGGATTATTATGTGTGGTTTATCCAGGAAGGCACTGAAATTGAAGGAGCTCAGCTCCTCACTTAGGACCACCCAGGCACCCAGTGGACCCGCCACAGCATGCCACGCTCCCTCCCGCATGTCCATGGATGCTTGCTCCTCTCAGGACTTAGATAAGATACAGCAGACAGAGACAAGTGCAAAGCAGCCTGGCAAGAACCTCCTGAGTGCCGGCCTGGCTTCCTTTCCCCATCACTCCCCCTCACAGGGTTGAAGAGCCCCGTCCTCCTGGAGATGCCACAAAAATCATCAGAACCAACGAAAAGATTTATTTTATTTTTTCTTTTAAATATCCATTCCAGAGTTTTATGTTTTAAATCTACTGGTATTTCTGATTAATGTAATCAAGAAAAAAAGAGAAAATCTGAGTAAATGTAGATTTGATGAAGATGCTATCTTTATCAATGTTATCATATAAACAACAGTATTAAAGATTTTTAATGGAAAAAAAAGAAATAATCAGAACCAGAGAGAAATTGAAGTGAAACCACCACCACCATCGCCACCAAGCTTTCAGTCCTGGAGGCTTAAAATTAGACTCTGATGCTTCATTCCGCAACTGCCGCTGCTCTGACCCTGCCCTCTGCTCCCTGTCCCTCTGCTCTTACTCTTCCCATAACTCAGTCTTCATGGTGGGAAATTGGTCATCTCTGAGAGAAAAGGAAGTGGTTTTGATGCCGTAAGGGGAAGAGGAAAGTGGCTGGGTAGGAAGGGTCTGTGGGGCCTGGAGTGAAACTCAGAGGCCCTGTTCCTTGGGAAGCCTTGTCAGCAGGTGGGGTCAGAGGAGGTTCCCCTGAGGAGGACACGGGACCTCACTTGGCTTAGGCGGGGTCCTGACTTCCCGCTACAGAATAGCATTTCAGGACACACGGGTGAGAGATATAAGCGGATTTCTTAGGCACAGTTGGAAAATAGAAAAGGGCACTGCTCTGATGAAGAGCAGCAGACTGGCCCATTAACAAAGCAATGAAGAGTTTGACTGTTGTTCTTGGGTTTTTTGTTTAAATAGTAGAGCCGAGGTGTGCTAGGGTCTGGTTGATGATTATCTCGGTGGTGTTTTTACAAGAAGGTTCTGGAAAAGTCCTCACTGCTCGCTTTGGTTTGCTCTTTGAGCCTCTTTCTGCTTTGGACCCTCTCTGTTTCCTGGAGGCTGTGCTGGAGTCTAAAGTGACCCTAGGTTTAGGACAATGACTGGGGACTTCTGGGCACTCACTGGTATTTGGATGTCCCTGTAAACCTTTTATCTTATTATCCTCAGCCTAGGAGGAGAATGAGACCGTTTATGCTAATTTAGGGTTAATCAGCCTTGTGTTTCCAGCCTTGTGTGCTCCCCTAATGCTTAGTAGGTCAAAACACCGAACTCAGCAGGGGTCTGACCCAAAGCTTTAAGGTAATAAAAAGAGAGATACAAAATAAAGGTCGAACTCTGTTCTGCTTTCGGTTGCCAGTTGGGCACCTGTAGGCCCAAGTGAAGAGTCGCTGTCTTTTTCTTTTAGAAAAAACAGCAGTCAAGTCTTGTCTCAGGAGAAAACGCAAATCAGGGCTTTGATGAATAAATAGATAAGAAAGGACCCTGGTGTCAGTTCGTCCTCTGTCCAGTTCTGTCTGGTCTAACCTACGTGGAGAGAAGCTACAGCTCACGATCTGAGGGGGCAAAGAGCAGTGTGGCTTCCAGAACTTCAGGGAAGAAAGTCTCTGCAGTCCTGGGCGGAAGCTGAGAAAGGCTCTGAATTGCTGCCTCTCCTGCCTGTTCTCTAGCAGTACCACAAGTTTCGAGTTTCTTGCAAGCTTGCCCTTTGTATGCTGGCTCCTGAACTTCCCAGGGCAGGCCATAGATTCCTCAGGCCACCCTACTGTGGACACCAGGCCTGGCTGGTTTGTGCTGGGAGTGGTCCTGCACACTGCCCTGGCCCAGTGTGACTGTTACCTTCACAAGCCAGGAGCAAATGCGAGAACTGCTATAAATCAGGTTCCATCTGCTCCTCATCAGACTTGCCCTGCCAGAAGGCCCGGGAATAGCCCAGACCCTTTAATTTTTTGGGGTGGAGCTGAAAGAAAAAGCCTTAGTCAATGCTTGAAGAGGATGAAAAGAAAAAGACAGCACACAGCAGCAGGTGGGGAGGAAGCAGGGAGTAACCAGTCTGGGACAATTGCCTGGAATAAACGCTATTGTCTGTCACAGGATTTCTATGCCAGCCTAGGCCTGCTGAGCTGACCGTGTTTAAAGGGCCAGCTGAGATCAGATCTGCAGGAACAGATCATGGCAATGAACTGAGATTCATCACAGGACATTAAGAGAGAGGGTAGGAGCTGGTAGTACCAGGAAGAGTGAGTCCAAAGGGAGAGGAGGATGCAGCATGAAGGCTGGAGTGCCGTGAGAGGACGGCCAGCCTGGAGTAATCTCAGGTGATTCAGATGGAAGGAGGAGACCTATCAGAGACCCCTTCAAGGTACACCTGTTGCGTTCACAGCCTCTGCAATGTGTGCTGCTCACAGCCACCCCTGCTCAAGCTGTCCCTGCGATCCGGCCAGCTCTTCACCTCCCAAGTGCTCTGCTTCTCTCCACAGGAAAACCACATCCTTCTATTATTATCTTTACCACCCTGAAACCCAAACAGTGGAGACAGATTTAACCACATCAAAACCCCCTTTACTCTTTCCTCCACGGTGATACAATCTACCTCCTACTTCCTGGGGAAGATTTACTGCCTCTTCTCTCCTCTGGGTTTACATACCGAGTGTTGGGGAACCATCACCTGCGCTAAAGGCCGGGAGGAGAACATGGTGGCAACCTAGAAAGAGCCCTGGAGACGGTGGAACTCAGAGCAGCCTGATTGGTCTCCAGGGAAACTGCCCCCCACCCTGGAACCTCTGTGAGGCATCTTTACTCAGTTGGGGGCCAAGGAGGAGCAATGATCTCAGATAATCTTCTGTTTTATTTTGTTTTGTTTCGTTCCTTTTTGTTTTGTTTTGTTTTGCTTTGCATGTTTGTGTTTTTTGTTTTGTTATGTTTCATTTTGGTTTCCTTTGCTTTGTTTGGGTAGCACTGCCGATTCAACCCAGGACTCTTGCCTGCTAGACATGTGCTTTCCCTCTGAGCAAGGCTGGGCTGTCTTCTCCAACTCAAGGCAAGGTACCTTGGTCTCTTAAAAGAAAGAAAAACGTGAAAGGGAAGGGGAGGGGAGGAGAAGGAGAGGAAGAATATAGCGTAAGGAGGCGATGGCAGGGTCACCTGATTGTTTCCCTTTTCTTAAACTGCAGCTTTTATCAAAGAGTCAGTCTCTGGTGAGCCAGAACCAGGTACTAAATAGGGCCTGAGAGAAAGGCGAGGGATACTCATGGCCAAAGGGACAGGACTGTGCATCCTTTTGCATATTTTCTCAGCCGAAGACCATGTACCATTCTCTTTTGTTCATCTGTCACAGAACATGTATCGCTTGCTCTGCTATCTTAGTGTTTTTAGTTTTTTTCATTGTAGAATGGACACAAAAGCAAGACAGTCTAAAGGTGTGTTTGTAATTTCTTTGAAGACAGGGGTTCATTGGCCTACCTAACCCATGTCACAGACGCAAGTCATAAACATTTCTAACTCTAAGATTCGCCGTGGCTCCCTGGGCCTTGGTCTCACAGTATTCTCCGCTATGACGTTCCTTGGCGGAGCTTTAGAATCACCACTGCTGTGCCGACTCTGAAAGCCTGTGGTAGAGAAGTAGTGAGTTTCCTCATTAAATCTCTTCGTGTCTTCTCCCTACTTACCCAGGCAGGGCTGGCCAGGCTGAGGTTGGGCCTTAAAATGCTCCAGGAAAAGCAACCTCAAAGTCCTGGCAGAAGGAGCCTCCTGAACTGCAGTATCTATGTGCCTCTTACTGTACTCAAGTATTGCATAAAAAGGCAAAAGCGAGATCTGATGTCTGATGCCCAAAAACCTCTTGGAAAAGTTTTTGCTGCCAGCAGAGGGGTTTGTCTCTGGGGAATAGATTCAGCCAATCAGAGGCTTTTCTAATGACATCATACTTTGTCAACTGTTTTATTGGTGGGAAAGCTCTTAGGTGTTGTGAGGATATAATTTCCAGTGCTGCTCAGGGAAAATAGTCTGTGGCTTCGCTTAGGGTTCCACAGAATTCCATCATGCTTGTATTTCCAATCAAGCTTAATCTGTTTGGCACTTGTTAAAAACTGGGAAATGAAGAAACTTTCCTTTCCTCAATCTCTGAAGCAGCTGATGCCTCGTGTGTGTCATTGTGCTGGCGTCCGGACTCTGAGGTCGGCTGATTTCTTCGATGGAGGCCTTAGGTTGCTAATCAGCACAGCATCAGTGCAAGCCAGAGGGTAGGAAATGAGGCCACCACAGGTCAGGCTGTAGAAAGAAGTATTTTAGGTGGGAAGGAAGTCAGAGAGCATGCCACTCATGCCTAGATTTCCATCAGAGGAATTCACAGGCATGCGCATGCCACAGTTCCGCTATGCACAGAGCTGCAGCGCTAAAAATAGCTGGGAGCTGACTTCCCTCCTTTCCTCTGTGTTGTCCCCAGCCCTGGAGCTTTTCCTCCCCCAGACAGAGACCCTTCTGTCTGCCAGCCTGGGATGGAATTAGCACACCGCGTCTGCTCATCTCAGCATCCTGCAGCAAGAGGCCACGGCTGGCGCAGCTCTGCTCACCACGAGGTTGTGTCCCTTGGTTACCTGAGTCCAGGAGGCCCTCACACTTGCCCTTAACCACATATTAAAAGGATGTCATCAGCTGAGTCATTCTCTGTCTCAGTCATTCCAGACAGCAGGCAGTCCCTGCCCCTGCCACCTCCACCACAGCCTTTGCCTCTGGATAACCCACCCACCGCACCTTGCGGGGAAACCACAGACTGGCCCTACCTTGCTTCCAACGGAATCTTCTTCCACTCAATTCTTTTCTCTCAGCTTTTACCTTTGCTCCCCTCTTCCCAAGCGTGCAACACTTCCTTATGGGAGTCTCTAGCTGTGCTAGCGACTCCCGGATGGCTTTATGTATTTCAGCTCTTTAAGTTTGATGTAGCACCTTGTGTCTTCTACCTCACTACCTCCCTAGGGCACAGAAGCAACCCTGGGCCCAAAATCAAATGCCCTTGGAATCAGAACAGGAATGATAATACTTATATTCCTGGAATTTTATAAGAATAACAGCCCCAGGTCCTAGTTCGTCTGAGAATGGGGACATGTCATAAATACCAACTGATATAGCTTGATTTTTTTAGTATACCTTTTTGGTTCTCGAAATCTTAGCAAATAGGTGATTTTGGACATCAACAAGTCACAGTGACAATGAGATGACTCCTTTTGATAATTGGCACCTGCCTCCTATGGCCCTCAGAGTTTGGGAGGGGAGTAGAAGCCACCTCCAGTGGCACATTCAGGACCAAGGGAAGCAAAATTTCAAAGGGGCATGTGGTGGTGCTCTCATTTGTCACAACAAAGGGCCTCTCTTCACTGCTTCCTCTGACTCTTCCCCCTGCTCTTAGTCTCAGCTGACATCTACTAATTAGTTCCCATGGAGGTGTTAACGGATAAGGCCTGTCTGATAAAGCTGAGCTGATACTGGCGCAGCCAGGCCTCCTCTCACATCTGCAAAGCAGTCTCTCAAAGACAGAAACACTTTGCAGGCCCCAAGAAACATTTTACATGAGAGGAGAGAGGATTGAGAGGAGCTGGGGTGGTGGAGATCCCTGGTGGAGTGTGTACTTGATATGCTCAAGGCTCTGGGTTTTTTCCCCACCACCAAAAAAAAAAAAAAAAAAAAAAAAAAGAATGCTCGAAGGCAGGTGGTACATTTGTCCCTAAAGTAGCAGCTTGAAAATGGATTAAGGTTTCTTGAATGCAGGACTCAGTCTATGGGGCACCCCTCAGGCTCCCAGCCACCTCACCTCTCAGCATTTTCTGGAAGGGAAACTCTCCGAAATCTCACCCTTCCAGACAATCCCTGCCACTTGTCCCCTTTACTTCAGGAGTACCAGACAAGGACAGCTCTTGTCAAGGACACCCTGGTTTGTCATGCTCAGATCTCATGCTTACTGGCAGGATCCTTGCTCCATCCCAAGAAGGAGCAGCCCTATAAACTTTCTGCCCTAGATACTCCCTTGCTTCACCTTAATCCCGATTTGCAGAGCTGAGGACCAGTGGGTATGTGCATGCTACCCATTCTCAATTAATTTGGGATGTGCAGAACATTTCATTAATCACTGCTTTACTTCAGCCTCACCAGAGCCACTTTGGCATTTGGAATTCTTGCCTCTTAGAGCACTTTCTGCATTCTGCACTGTCCCAGAACATCAAATCTGGCATCTGTGCACAAGGGAGGCATTTAATTAAGGAGGTAAAAACTAAATTTTCTTAAAACACTTTTCAAAGAAACAAAACATGAGACCTTGAGTTTTTGCCAGAGTCCAAAATAAACCAATCATGGTAGCCTAATAAGTAATGATTACTCAGCCAGCATAGGTGCTTTTTTCTCCCTCCACCCTAGTTCTCTGAGTCAGTAACTAGTGTTGCATATGTGTGGCTACTCCCAGTAGCAAAGGGCAGTCGAGGAACCAAGTGGCTATTTTTTACAAGGTTGTCTTACAAAAGCTGATCTCAGCCAGTGTATCAGTTTTGCTCGCTGATCCAGCCTCCTTGAACGCACTCTGCTTAAGGTACTGAGCCCTCAATCCTCAAGTGCAGCTCCGCTTTATTCCGGGCCAGTGCAGACCAAGACACATGAACGAGGAATGATGGGTCTTTCCGTTCTAGTTGAGGCTCCCCAGGCTTGAGGCCCTAGGGAACAGTATTCCCCAGAAGCTGCAGTCTCCCTTCCTCCTTCGTGTTTTACTAAAAGTGTTACAGATAGCGTGTGTGGTGGCCCACACCTGCAACCCCAGCACTCAGGAGGCTGAGGCAGGAGGACTCCTACAAGTTCAAGGCCAGCCTGGGTTACATAGTGACTTCAAGGTCAGCCTGGGCTGTGTAGCGAGACCTTGTCTCAAACAAACGTTACAGAAAACTAAGTTATTTAGAAATTATATTGAGTCAGAGAGGGATTGGGTCACCGAGAAAGACAGCACAAAAAAATGAAGACATTAGAATTGTGGCTGGAGGGAAATCTGAAGACAAGCAGGCCTTACAAAGGATACAGTAGCCAGGCCTGCAGGCCTCTCTAAAGATAAACGGCAACTTGAGCTTATACTATAGTTAGTACCACCTGGGCTGGTGGACCAGATAGGCGTCAGACACCCAGACAGGCGGGTGACCAAGCACCTGGACCCATCCCTTCCCAAAAATGCCTTTCTTCTTTCTGTAAACCCTCACTAGGTGATTTGTTTCCCTATTGGATCAATGTAAACTAAGCGGCTATGTTTGTAATCTTCTAAACTGATTGTAGTTTGACCCACATTGTATCCATGCTGTGATTTTGTATATAAATTATCTCTGACAAAGAGCCTCGCTGGCCACACACTCAGGACCATTCCTCGAAATCCAGGAGCTATTCTTCTCCTTAATTCCAATCAAACTCCCTAACTTACTTCTTTGGTTAGTGACTTCATTCCCCAGCGTTGGGAGACCACACATTTAGCCCATCTGATCTCTAATAAATTGGGGATTATTTTTCTCATGTCAGAATGCCCAAGTACTTACCTCATGCTCTCTGTGGAAGAAGAGTTTTCCTTCAAGGTGAAACCTGTTGGGAAGCCTCATGCTTTGTGAGTCCCTGCTAAATTCTTTCACAAGCTGGACTTTGCTCTCGTAGCCCAGCTACTTGCTACGATCCTGATCCAACCATTCTGGTCCCTGAATAGCTCTGCCTTCCTGGCATTTGCCATGCTTCCTGCTGTGTTCCCACAATCTGTCCAGGCTATGTCTGGATCGATGCTCCATCTCCTCTGGGAGTTTCTATGTAGACTTGATCCCCAGTTTGAAGTGTGAGCTTTTCCCACAGGCCAGGGCACTGCTGGGTTGGTTTCTGTGGTCCGCCTCACCCAGGCCCATTTAAATCAAACTGTCTACACATTGTAGCCTGCTGTTTCTTGAGATCTGGGCTCCAAGAGTAGCTCCCATTGGAAGCAAACTGCTCAAGTCCCTCTCCCACCCCTACCCTACGTTCTTGCCCGTGACTCTCATTCCTGACTTTGGCACTGCCCAGCTCTGGCTGTCTTCCCAACTTTTTCCATCTTATTTGGACCTTGGCTCTTCTCCCCGAATCCTTGCCAGCTCACTGTTCTGCTTAGTGTTTCTGTTATTCCAAGCAGGGGGTTTATTTTGTGCTTTCTAGGCCCTTCTCCTAGCCAGCCATTGTCCTATCTTGGTCCTTAGTCTTCCATCTCTCCACCCAGTAATAGTGTGAGGCTTGCCTTTCTGAATTAACAGAGTATATGATTAACTGGTCCTCTACCTTAAAGGGCTGGAATGGAAAACAGGACACCTTTAATCTTAGTTTTATCTTTTCCCAGTTTCCTCATCCTTCCTCACAGCCAAGCCCACTGTTGGCTGTTTTAAAATCTGTATCAACATGCAGTGTTATGGGTTAGATCTGAAATGTTCCTCAAAGCCAAGAGCACTCCCAGGTGGGGCTCCTGGAAGGCGACTGGACCATGCAAAAAGGGGAATTACAGCTGCCTTGGTGTTAGGAGATGGGATCTGGCTGGAAGAGGTGGGTCATGGCCTGGAAGGTTGCATGTTTTCCTCCTTCAATAGTCTGCTTCTCACTACCATGCCACAGCACCTCTTCTGCTGTGACCCTGAGCCGTGCCATCTTGCCTTGGAGCCAGCCACCTGTGCAGTGAAACCTCTACAAACTGCAAGCCAAAACAAACCGCTCGTTCCTTAAATCGTGGGTGTCAGGTATTTTGTCTTGGCAAAGAGGGAAGTAACAAAGACATGCAGTAGTATATCCTGTTACATATTTATTTTTAAAAAACAATATTAAATTCAGTTACTTACTTGCCAAGCTACGAATTTTAATTTTAGTGAAAGTTTTGGAAAAAAATATAATCACAGGGGTATATGGCAGAAATGGTATTCATCAAATATCCATATACTTCCCTTTCCCCACTTTTTGCAGCAGCTTCCCTTGCAGGTAAGTGATGACTACACCTTAGTTCTGGCCCTATCATGAATGGAAATGTCTTCATCACCATCTCCCCTGCAGTGGCTTATCTCCATGTTGAGATGGATCCCTGGACCACTATGCCCCCACTGACCCACATTGAGTTTTGCGTGAATAAGAACTGTACCTTTGATGTGTTAAGTCACTGAGTCCTTCTGATTTGCTTGTTGTCACAGTATAACTTGATGTAACTCTGACTAATAAAATATAGAAACCTTAACCAATATGAGGGTTTATTTATTTCTGCTTCTGCCACTACCCAAACACTGCTTTTAAAGAATTTAAGATTCATATGAATAATATGTGGTTTTTTTAATTATAAAATACAAAACAGGCATATAGCTCAGTTATAGAATACTTGCCTACCAATAGTGGAGTCCCTGAGTTTGGTCTCTAATACCACAAAACATAACAAAAGCAAAGAAAGTAAAAATTATCTATAATCTTCTTGACCAAAGATAATTACATTTAACGTCCTAGTGTCTACAGCTCATGTTATTTCTATGCATATAGACAGAAATGTATATGCATGTATGTACACACATGCAGAGACTCACATATATATTTACGTATTATTCTGGAGTCTCCTTGCTTATTTGACAAAATATCCTGTTCACTTACCCAAAGCAATAAATATTGTAGAACACAATCCTTAGCCATGATATAACATTGTATTAGGGTAAAATTTATATATTGTTGGACAATCTATTATGTTCTTTACTTAAATGGCTTCAGCAAATATTTCTGCTCCTTTTCTATATATTTTATCACTTGCTTCTTCTCTGCACAAACTGATTTTTAATCATGCACATTCACAGAATGCAAATGAGATAATTCAAAAATAATAAAAGTAGTCATAGAAGTCACAATGTGATGTTTTTGCATAGAGAGGAAGAAACGTTTCTGTAATGTGTTCATTGCCATCCTTATTATTGTTGTAATTACACTCCTATTTGCTTAGTACATTTTCATTTGCATTTACTGAACAGTACTAACTGAGCTGGAGGAGCAAAGGGGCTGGCAGAGCAGGAAGCTGTTTTAGTTAGGACAAGGTGTGGCTGCAAAAAACAGAAAGCATGAACCCGTCCAACAGATCAGTGGGTCAAACAGGGCAGAAACCTACTCTGTTCGCAGGTGAAAATCCAGAGATAGCACTCCACACGACCCTCCCCAGAGCCCCAGGAACCCAGGCTTCCTCTCCTGGGATCTCTGAACACTTTTTCCATTAAAAGAAAATGTCATTCTTTTAAAATGCATTTTTGGGGAGGTTAACCACACCAAATCTAATCACCTAGGATCCTATTGATAAAAGGAGGAAGTGTTGCTTTAGTCCAAATGTTCACATTCCCGGATAAAAATCGGGGAGCATAAGGCTATAGATGAAGAGAAGAAGGGATGTGGGGGCCAATCTGGTTTCTCTGCCACAGGAACCACCAGATTTGGTGGTTCTTTTGAGATTTTTCAAAAGGAAATAATTGAGTCTAGCCCCTGGTGGAAGAAAAACAAATAAAAAGGGAAATATCTATTACATTAAAAATAATGTGTAATCAAACTCTGGCAGTGAGACGATGGGCTAAGTAAATATGCATTCAGCGCCTTGATCCATCTGGATTTCTGAAATCAGCCAACTCCTTCAGATGAGTGTGTGCTGAAGGAACGAACAACTGACAACCCCTGTGACATCCGACCTAGCGCCTGGTCTCCTCGGGTGGTACCACTGGATACATCAGAAGGGGGGTGCTGCAGATCGCATGGTGCACCTAAGTCCAAGCCCTGACTCCTTCAGATAAGAAGAGCAAGCTGTGTACACAGAAAGAAAGCCAGCCACTTTCACACCTGTGAGGCATTGCTTTGTTTGTTTCAACTGCCCAGGACCCTTGTCCTTTGCAAAGGACAAAGAATTCCTCTGTGTGAAGAAACAGTTTCCCTCTTTCTCAGTCCTAAAGTTCTCATTCAAATCTTTGCTCCTTTAGCACAGTTTTCATTCATCCACTCATCCACCCATGTGTTGGTTAAATACTGAAGGAATCTGTCACATACCAGGCCCTGAACTAAGCACTGGAGTGTGCAGGCATGGGCAAACGAGGCAAGCTTGGGCTTTCAAATCACATTATACTAATTAGATTCACTGGTGTCATATTTCTGCTGATATTTTGGGCTTTCTCACTTAAAGGATAGAGAACTGCTTCTAGAGGGCCCACAACTAGGTGTTTTAATTAGCAAATATTTATAGCCTACTTGCTATACACCAGACATTATTTTGTTCTATGTCCAGCAAATATATTGACTCTTCTAAGTTTTATGACAATCCCATGAATATGGACTTAACTGTTATCCTATTCAACAGATGATGAATAAACAGGTTAAGTAACTTTCCCAAGGTCATACAGCTAGTAAGTAGTGAAGTTAAAATGCTATCCAGGGAGACTGGCTCTAGTGTGCAAGCTTGCATTATCATCTGCTATTCTGTGCTTCTGGTCTCTAATAAAATGCCTGTAATAGAACAGGTGCTCGCTAAGTGTGGGTTGGATGGAAATGTACTAGCTCTTCAACACTGGGCAAGTTATCCTCTCTGATATACTTTTTATAGAGATAGAAAGAAACAAGACCAGAAGACCTATGGTGCTAGACTTCATCTACAAATACACAACTGAGAATTCTTTTAGTTTATCAACCCCCTTTCAGATGCCCTACCTTTAGAGATGGGAATGTAGCTCAGTGGTAGAGCACTTGCCTATCAAGATAAGGCCCCAGATTCAATCCCTAGCACCTCATATGTACATACAAAAAAACATATTCTTCCTTTTTCAGACTAAAGAGATGATTCACAGACTGCGTGGATAAGGTTCTTTAACAAGATATAGAATATCCAAGTTCTTTCATTCTTTCTAAATCGGTATTGGGGATCGAACTCATGACCATGCACTTGCAAGGCAGGCACTTATGCCACTGAGCTAAATCCCAAGCCCCTAAGTTCTTTCATACAGTGAGAAGGTGATGAATCATTCCATTGTGGACTTTTGGTGTCGAGCAAATGGTCAAAACTATATATAGTAGTTCAATCCTTGGGTGCAAGAGTGCAAAGTCCTGCTCCCTGGATTTTGTTCTTGCATAGTTTCAGAGTCAAGGATATTTTGATCACATTTCACTTTAACCTTTAAAGGCTTCAGATTGTGTTCTTAGCTGCTTAGGATACTTAAAATGGAGAGGACACTATAAGCTTCCCAGTCCTTTAGTTTTTGTAAATTTGGCTGCAAACAATACTCCTACTGATGACTGTAAATTTCTCTTTCAGATTACACTATAACATGACATTTTTTCCCAAAGATCTGAGTGCACACAGCATCAGATCTTTGATCAAAGGCCAACAGAATCCCCAGGATCCAACCCAGTGCCAGTTTAGGTCATTATACTTTGGCCAGTCTTCTCTTCCCCACCGTGTTGGTTTGCTACATTAGCCATCATCGCCCAGATCGTGCTGCCTAGAAATCAGAGAATTGGCAGGACTGGCTTCCCCAGTAAGCAGTGGTCAGAAAAGGGCATGGAGTGTGGCTCACACTGACTCTAGTGGAGAATATTGGTGGTAAGGAGTTTCTCTATGCCAAAATCTACAGATGTATTGTTTTCTCTCTGAAGTCAACAGGGAGCAGGACTTTGCACTCTTGCACCCAAGAATTGAACTACTATATATAGTTTTGACCATTTGCTCGAGACCAAAAGTCCACAATGGAATGATTCATCCCTTTTTTCAGGAAGGAATTGGACACAAAGATTGTGAGAGAGGTCTGAAGTTCATGATGGGTTGGCAACCACGTAATATCTGGGCATGGCTTCACATCTGGATATGCACTTGTCATCCTTAACTGTCTTGATCACTTAGTGAAATTCTTATTTCCATATTACATTTGAGAGGATTATTTTCTATTGCTATCCACACATTTAGACATATTAAGAGAG